ATAATAGAAAATAAACATTGTCCACGTTAATTGCAAGATGCAGAAACTGCATAGACCTTTATTCCTTTTCTTAACAATCATATAACGAGTTGACAATGATATAATAATATTTTCAAATCGTTCAAATGTTTTTGCTGTTTTCTGCATTCAATTTGCTCGTTTTTGTCACAAACGCATCATTTTTGTCAAAACGCTCCATTTTGTAATTAAAATGTGTTGGGCCGGGATCAAGGGCGCGAGAGATCTTTGCAACGAGCACAGACAGAATATTTTAGGATGTTTTTCCACGCGAAGTTACGGAAATCGAAAAGAAGGATCGGCAGATTTTTATAGAATCACACACCGCAGTGATTTCGTAAGATTATGCTCGAGGGAAGCAACTAACTGTACAACAACTTCTGGGATAAGCAAACGGAAGATGTAAAAATCGCATAACTTGCACCCTAGACACATTCTACCGAAGCATTACGGAGATCATACCAGATAAGTATGTTTGCTCTCCTGACAGTTCCCTCGGGCATTGGCAGTGCGGTGCCATGAAATAGAGACATTCGGCGTCATCGCGGACCAGATAATAGCTAGATTTATAAACAAGAAGAGCGGGGACCGCGATTAAGAATAACCAACTCGGATAATCGTCCCTATCATGGTCCAATCAAATTCATTAAACTGTTTACTAAAGATCCCACGCTGGACTCCTCGCAGGTAGGAGGTTATATTTCCGTTTTCTACGATCGCAAGGATACCCATTACAGGACTGCCCTAACTGGATCGGAGACAGTCAGAGATCATTATCCTGAAATACATGAAATTAAACCTACGGTTCTCGCGTTCGCCGGTAATCCATGGGATTTTTAGCGAACGCATCGTATTGCGAACCGCGGGTCCAATTAGAAACGGAATTCCCGGCCGATCCGATGGAGCGGTAATTACGCGTTTCTACGGTGGTTACACTTTTCCCGAAACATCTTTGTCGGCGGCCGTTAACGCGTTAGCTCGAAAGGGGGTGGGGGGGAGGTGGGGGAAAAAAGTTGAGCGAAACGGATAAGGAACTGCGACTAATAATGGAATCGGCGGGCGCGTTACGCGCACCCGTTCCGCTGCCGCTGGTGGCCGACTGCTTATGCAACGCGAATAAACACGCTGATTTTACGGCCGCGTAAAATACCGAGGCGTTTCGATTACGTCGACGAGCGGAAAGGCCGGACGCGAAAGTCCGTCCGGGCATGGCCAATCGTCACCGATAAATTGTAATTGTTCGCGAGCGGTCTTAAATTACGCCGGGCGCGTCCCCCGCGAACACGGGACGGCCGGCCTCGTTAAAAAGTATCGACCGTTGAATCGCCGCCACTTAATTACCGAGGCGCATTATTAATTAACTCCGCGCGTCCCCGGACTGCCTCGACAGTTAATAAACACGGAATTAACGTCCGGGCTTCGGGAATCATCGGGGACCTTCGATCAGGCACTCCGTGCGTCTTCAATTAACGCGTGGGAGTCCATACTCCTCTGGCTTTGGCAGGAGTTATGCGACTGTCTATACAATTTATAATTAATTGCGGTAACGAGAATTGAAATACAGCAATTTGTCCGCTCGTCTCTTTCACCGATTACATACTTTTTCTTGTCCGCTTCGTTCCGGTACTTCGAAGCAATTTTTATCCGTTCTGCAAGTATTCTGTTGAAATTTTAGCCTCGAACAAAAATTAATCTATAGTTTACTTAGTAAGATATCTTCAGTTAAGATATCGGTTTACATTTCGCCGGCTCCGTCAGCGGGCAGCGACGGTGATGAAAACTGTATATAGTAGCTGTCTCTTATACACATCTACGAACCCAAAAAGGGTATAAAAGAAGCGTTTCTTCTTACCGGACTCTCAGTAGAGTTTGGTCGCTCGATCGGTTTCGCTCATATACCTCTGTCTCTTATACACATCTACGAACCCAAAAAGGGTATAAAAGAAGCGTTTCTTCTTACCGGACTCTCAGTAGAGTTTGGTCGCTCGATCGGTTTCGCTCATATACCTCTGTCTCTTATACACATCTACGAACCCAAAAAGGGTATAAAAGAAGCGTTTCTTCTTACCGGACTCTCAGTAGAGTTTGGTCGCTCGATCGGTTTCGCTCATATACCTCTGTCTCTTATACACATCTACGAACCCAAAAAGGGTATAAAAGAAGCGTTTCTTCTTACCGGACTCTCAGTAGAGTTTGGTCGCTCGATCGGTTTCGCTCATATACCTCTGTCTCTTATACACATCTACGAACCCAAAAAGGGTATAAAAGAAGCGTTTCTTCTTACCGGACTCTCAGTAGAGTTTGGTCGCTCGATCGGTTTCGCTCATATACCTCTGTCTCTTATACACATCTACGAACCCAAAAAGGGTATAAAAGAAGCGTTTCTTCTTACCGGACTCTCAGTAGAGTTTGGTCGCTCGATCGGTTTCGCTCATATACCTTCTCTCAATAAAGGAATAAAATAAAGTCCTTTTTAGCAAAGAATTAGAATCATATTCATTTCCATTCCATAATCCCAACATATTCCATATGGTTTATCGATTTCACGAACGTATCAATCGCAGAACCGAACAATACAATTTCGAGATCTTTTTCGAAAATCGTTACTGTTCGTCGCACACTCGATTGTTGTAATTTCGTTCCATATGTTCTGTAAAGCTAGTTCGAGATCATTCGACAGCTTGAACGATCGATGGGACATCTTCTATTCTATTCTTTCGACAGCGATAATTTGTCGGCGTTTTCTTAATCCACTCTTTATTGTTTTTCACTTTTGAGCTGAACGGGGCTCAATGAGACCTACGAGGACCCCTTGATGAAAGTCTCCCCGCCATGTCGCTAAAGGAGTCCGTTAACCTTTTAGACACGACGCGCCACTATAGTGGCTTTCGCGGATGTCATCTCTCTGAACGAGGCGCCACTATAGTGGCTTACTCTAGTAGCTTATATTAATTATAAATAATCGTCTTCATATGCATTGTTTCACACTTCTTTTGTCTTCGCATCGATTTACAACAGTCTACAGAATGTCCCAAAAATGTCTCGCAATCCGGAAATGGCGGGTTCCTCGGATCATTTGAAGCAACTTCTTCCTTTACAAAAATGTTCTCCGAGGCACCGTTAACGAGTTATTAACGTAAAACAGTGACCAATAAGAATCGAGTACGGCTGACGCGAGGCGGCCCAGCCAACGAGCGCACGAAGCCCAGTTCCGCTCATTGGCTCGATCGCCTCGCGCCAGCCGAGCTCGCCTCTCATTGGTCACCGTTTTTCGTTAATAATTCGTTAACGGTGCCTCGGAGAAAATTTTTGTAAAGGGAAAAGTTGCTTCAAATGGCCTGAGGAACCCACTACTTTCAGATTGCGAGACATTTTTGGGACACCCTGTATATACAGACAGAATATACAGTATCAGACTCTGTACAGTACATATCAGACTCTGCCGTCCAGAGGAACAGCCTCGTGCAGAATTCAGCCGTACCTAAAAGGATAAATGGACTCACTCTAGCACATTAGCTTAACCGTTTGAGTCCCGAGCAGCGCGATCGCGCTATTGAGATTTTATGTCGAGAAAACCCAACGCATTTCGAACATTGTGGACAACTGACGGTGCGTTACCGATTTTTAATTCATTATTATTGCGCCGCTTGGTATTTCTCGACATAAAGTAAAACAAGCGCTGTCGCGCTGCTCGGGTCTTTTCGTACTCATTTAGAGGAAGCGCGGTTGCGCTGTTTGGGATTCTTCGACAGTGTTTTTTCAATACCCCCTGGGACTTGTTTTGTCCGTACGTTCGGTTAGTCGCCTAACGTACATGCGCGACCGAACTATTGTACGCTCGATTCGCGCTTCCTACGGCAAATTAATGACGTGGAAGGGTCTCTAGTAGTCTTAGAGAACTTTATTTTTTGTGTTGCACTCTCTGCGAGCGCTGGTGGAAGAATGCTCTTCCAACGCTGGAAAGTCGTGGAAGAGCACCCGTGGATGGAGGTAGATTGTTTATTATTGGTCAAGGCACGAATCACCCCTTGGAGGGGGGTGTCTGCCTTGACCCTTGTTGGGGCCTGAGAGGGTTTCCCCAATGGTGGGACCTTTTTATGGCCCTTGTCTCTGGACGCAACAGGACTCAAACGGTTAAAAAATGTAGATATTCTAACAGCTAATTCGATAAAATAAAAAATAGCTGAAAGAACATAGAAACGCACACGGACGGTACTAACGGACACAAAGAAACCTAAATAGTTCGAGGAACAAGATACGACAGTAAAGAAAGAAGCGGTTTTCACAAAGGAACAGAATATTCTCCTGTGAGAGTACCACCGCTGACGAAACTATTGCAATAGAAAGGTTTCCACGTGGATGCTGATTAATTCTTTCTAAAATGTAGCTAACGAGACGAACAAGTCTGGGAAGTTTCCGAGGGAAGCCAAAGTTCTTGCGACCGCCCGAAGCAAACCGGCGAACACGGTCCACCGTGGGCCGCGTTCGCGAAACAATCGCGGGGAACTGGTGCATCGGAACCGCATAAATCTCGGCCGGCGACGGGAAACATACTTCGGGAGTCACGCAACGAGAGGGTCGCACCGCTCGGACACGCGAGAGTCCTCTCCTGTACGCGTGTACACGTCTGCCCGAGATTTCAAGAAAAGCGGCGCGGCGTGGCGCGGCGCGGCTCTCCAAAAACAGCGGTGGCCTGGGGAACACGATCGATCGATCGGACTGATCCGATTCGATCCGGCCGTCCACGTTACGTAGCTCGCATTCCACGAGATCCGAGGGTTCGGTGTGCACGGAATATAATATGTAGCGCCCGTAGTTAGACCGCCCCGGCGCGGGGAAGCGGGCTCGCTCGCAAGAAATCGCGCGCCGCTGCCATTCCTGAATCAGGCCGCACGGTAGCCGCCGCGCACGTCCCGACAACTTGATTAATAGCCTTAATTAAGATATTTAATTGCTTTTATTTTTATTTGCCGTCCGTACAGAACCGGCGACGTCGCGACAGCACAGCGCCCGAAGGGTAGGCCAACCAGAGCCGAGGGGATCGGGGCCCCACTCTCCGAGGGACGCCAGAAGGAAATCAGGTCCGAGAAACGCGTCATACTCGTTGCCATCGCGAGGATTACGACCGGTGTACCCGAGACGGCGCTCGTAACCTTAACGACCGCACTCGGGCACCGGTCGGTCTATCGGTCGCTCTGTCACGATAATCCTCCGGCTGCGAGGAAAAAACGCAGCAAATCGCGTGAATGCGTCGGGATCGTAGTGGCGTCTGTCACATTTTCGAAAATTTTCTCTTGTATCTTGATCAGTCAGCTGTGTTCGACGAGTATACTCGTCGTGGGAAAGTGGTAGTATTTTGTGTCATCACGAGTATACTCGTCGCGCGTAAAATGTAGCGGCCGTTGGCTGTTTAAATTGCAATTTTAGCGAAAACAAAAACGTGTTCTCAAATTTCAAGACGTTTAGAATATTTTATATATCATAAATAACTGCTTTGCTGAATAAAGAATAACGCTTTGCTGAATATCGCTCTGCAGCAGCAATTTGAATTTTGATCTTTCATAAGGATTTGATCTTTCCTCCGTTTTTCGTTTATTATATATGTAGTTTATGTTAATGTTAAGTAGGTATGTAAATATTAGTAACAAAATTGCTAATTTTATAAAATAAAGCCGTCGCTTCGATCCAATATTTTAACAGCGAAATGTCACACAGCTAGCTGGTTAAAATGTGATCTACAACTGCGAAAATATTGTAAAGACAAGTGAAACAAATGATGAAGTTATTATAAATTAAGTCAACTCTAAATTGTCTTAACAATAAATTGAGTCGATATATATGTTAGTAAATAACGCCCTTCCTTTCTCACAATGAGGACAAAGTGATTTACGACGTTCTAACCCATTCTGAGATGTTTTCACTTCCGAGGTATCGTCGCTTAAAATTCTGAACACTGATGCTTCGTACTAGTAGCGTTTCGAATTACATAATTTCTCCGCGTCCAAATAGTGCAAAATGTACGACGATTGAAACTTTTAGAACGGTTTCAAAAAATGAGTGACGCTGAACCTATCGCGTTCTAAGAATGACCAACGTGGCCAAATTAATATAATATAATATAATATAATATAATATAATATAATATAATATAATATAATATAATATAATATAATATAATATAATATAATATAAAATATAAATATATATAAAAATGGCCAAAAATATATATAAAAGTGGCCAAATATATATAATAAACCTACGTACCCTATCTAACAGTCTTTATAACTTGATGACTTTTCAAAGACAAACGTGGAATCGGTCATTTTAACCGGCTCGGTTTAGCGTTCAAGATGATAGAAATCAGTCCTGTTCAGTAATACTCCCACGTGTTCGATGACTTTTTTTGTTAAATCGAGATCGTCGATTAATAATTCTTCAAATTAAGCGTTAACTCGGATCAGCTGTCTAGCCGCTTCGAAACACGATGGTTCAATCTTTCGGCAGCGTGCGAATTGTGTCCGCTCATGTTCACTGTCACCGTGCAGCCTAGCACCTAGAGGCTAAGGTGCGTCGCTAAGCGAACGAGGACGCGAGAATGTGTAGAAATGTTATCAAGATTGGCGCCTCGAGCCTATATAGCCGATCGGTTAGAACTAATTGATGAGGTATAACGAAAACAATGTGATGAGTGAAGACATTACGGTCGTTGGGCAATCGCGATTGGTATTGGCGATCAATTATTGAAGCCGCGACGAGTTAATATGCTGGCTGCGCGGCAGAGTAAGTTACTCTATAAAGGATAGAGCGTCGGAACGAACGTTAGTGCCCGCGAAATTAAGATTTATGGCGGCTGTTTGTGATTGAATAGGACTCGTCAAACGTGTCTGTTCATTGCTCGCTGTTTCTACTTGCTGCGGCTATTCTTCCAATCGACTGTGACAATCTATAATTTATTTCACGCTGAACATTGAGAAAATACAAATTGGTTGAGTCGGATTCTTGGAAGAAGGAACACTCGGCTGTGTTGGTTATAGTAATTGTTCGATCCGCCACCGATCGGTGTGCAGTACCGAAGTGTTTACAGTAGATTGGGCCGCTGTCGTTCGTGACTGACAATCTTGAAGCCAGCCTCGTTAGTCCTCCGCTGTTTTTACTATAATATATTCTTTGAAAGGAAGGATTCGAAGTGCGCGGATAGTCACAACGCCGGCTTATACTATAGACATACGAACGATAGCAATCTCGAGTGATTATAGTGGGGTGGACAGCTACTATCCGTGCTGGTGCATATGCCAGATATTTACATATAATACTAGGTTACTCTAGTCGGGCCTAATCGACCGTTTCTTGTTTCACAAGCATATTGCGCTCGTAGTTGCGAAAACATTGTGCAGAGGTACACAAATAATGTAAAATTTAATTAAAAAAAGAAAAAACGTGATCTTACAGCGTTACTAAAGTGAATGTACCGCAAACGCTGTCGCTGATTGGCACTTTTTAACGTTCAGGGATTGAAGTTTAGGATCAGTAGAAAAGGTCAGCACTGCGCAGACAGCGAATAACGAGAAACGCTCCCTGCGACGTTTACAATGATATTCGAATTAAATAGACTACCTACCAATGACAAAATTATCACTTACTCGCGAAATTGAATGAAGTTTCATTGTGCACAAAAAAGGTACCTGCTCACAGTGGGGAACATGTTAACACATATTCGTCCGCATGACGAAAATTCGTCATTTCGCAAACAATCACCAATAGCCAAATGAACAAGTCAATTCGAATTAATAGCCAATTCGTCATTCGTATATTACAGAAAATAATTGATTCTTGTTCTTTTAATTCTCATTAAAACCAACAAAGCGTACAACAAAATTCGATCCACCTGGCAGACTAAATTACGATTCACGTAAACATAAATGCGTTAAAATAGTGGCTGCAGGAAAATTACCGGACGAACATGTGTTCACCCTTTGCACTCGGGTGGCGACTCTGAGGCGCCATCAAGAATTGTTCTATCACGTTTCCAAATAATCATCAAATTTATCTATACTTAAAAAACATTACAAAATGTAACAGTTGCTTGAGTCACAAAATTCAATGTCGTGCGCGCACAAAATGCGCTAAGTTATGTCAAATGAAAATACTAGAGGACAGAGAAACTACGTTAGATTTCGAGTTAAATTCGCTTCGAGTGTAAAGGGTTAATAAGAAGATGTTAGTTGGAAAGACAGCCTATATTTATCGGCCGCGACATTGCCACCGTGATTTAAATTCCCTTCCGTTTCGCAGAAGCCCAAGAAGCCAATAGCAGCGTTAAAAAGCTGTTCACTGGCAAAATACTCACGACGAACAAGAATAATCCTGAACGTCCACCTTCACCCTCATTCGGAGCGGGACGGTCCACGGAACACGGCCTCCGCGCGGTTATAAATCACCGATTTTTCCACGGGAACTTTTCACCGGGCAAAATTAATCGCGACGCGGTATTTATCGGCGACCTCGATATCCCGCCGCGCCGCGCCGCGACACACGGGCATTCTACGAATTGAAAAATCATGCTCATCGGCGGCCTCTTATCGTAACTTTCCTGGAATCGTTGCGAACAGATCCTGATCTTTGACTCGATAGTGATTTGAATTGCGTGAAAAACGTTCGAAGCACTCTTGCATTCCGTCGCTCGAAATCTAGATAATTTGCGAACAGTGAACTTTATTATAATATTGCTTATAACATTGTAGAATTAGTCTATTTTCACGAAATATAATAAAGTAATCTCGCTATTGAAGCTGAAAACTTTGAATTATTTCTCAAGATCGTATTCGGAATAGTCTCAATATCTCAAGGCAGTCGTTGTTGTTTAACAATGGGATGAGGTAATTCGAATTTATTTTTTCACGCTAGAATACTGGAAGCACGAGGATCGTTTGCGTACATTAAGTTATGCTTTTCGAAGAATAATATTTCCTTTAAGGTATTGAAGGTATTATAGGGGAGAACTACCATGAATGGGACACATATTGAATGGGACATCAACATTATCTCAAATCTCGTGAATCTTTCTTTAATAAAATTACATATGTTTTTTGCAATTATATTATACATATCTACTCGCACTTAGTTCGAAACCGTGTAAGCTACGTGGCTTAATTTGTCGTCAACGTTCGACTAGTCGCGATACAGTAAATTCTCCCTAATTGACGCTCAGCTTGTACACAAAAATGGACAGTTTGGGAAGAGAAGATACGATTATTCGAGGCTTGCCGTTCGTTTTTATAGTTACAAATTGTCAACAATTATAAAAACGAGCTGCAATTAATTATCTTCGGAAATTCTTCCAGACTGTTCTGCATCTGTAGACGTCCTTCTGAACTATTCCCGAATCCTTTGGGATCCTCGTAAACTATTCTACATCGCTAGGAATAATTGCAGATCTTGGAAAATTAAAATACACTGAGAACAATCTTAAACATATGCTCCAGAGGACTGCATTTTCCTCATGAATTCTTCTGGAGACTTTAATATATCCTTAATGACTATAGTAATGTCTCTCTAATTGACGCTCAGATTGCCAACAGAAATGGACAATTTGGGAAGAGGAGATACGATTATTCGAGCCTTGTGACTCATTTGTTATATTCGCCGATTGTCAACAACTATAAGAACCAGCTGCAGGACTCGAATAATCATATCTCCTCTGCCCAAATTGTCCATTTTTGTGCACAATCTGAGCGTCGGTTAGGGAGACATTACTGTACAGTAAATTCCCCCTAATTGACGCTCAGCTTGTACACAAAAATGGACAGTTTGGGAAGACGAGATACGATTATTGCTTGCGGCTCATTTCTATAATTACCGATTGTCAACAACTACAAAAAAAGAGTCGCAAGACTGGAATAATCGTACCTCCGCTTACCGAACTGTCCATTTTTGTGTACAAACCGAGCGTCTATTAGGGAGAATTTGTCTTATTTAAAAAGACGATTGCGAAGTGGAAGTACAGTAAATTCCCCCTACTTGACGCTCAGCTTGGAAGGAAAAATGGACAATTTGGGAAAAGGAGATACGATTATTCGAATCTTGCACCTCGTTTTTATAATTGTTGATAATCTGCAACTATAAAAAAACGAGCCGCAAGGCTCGATCAATCGTATCTCGTCTTCCCAAATTGTCCATTTTCGTGTGCAATCTGAGGGTCAATAAGGGAGACAGTAACGTGACCTCGAGAATGAAATCTTCCACATGTGAAAGTAAGTGACCCATGTATAGTGATGCAGCCTAAACGCAGACCCAAACTAGTTCT